TACATTTGTTATATATATATATATATATATATATATATATGTATGTATGTATATATTGAAAAAAAAAGAGTATAGAAAAAATTAAAAAACAACTTTAATCTGCAGAAATTTAAATGCAATGTCAATCACTATCTACTGTTCTCCTGATTACTATTTTTTCTTCATACTCATTATTAACATTTCTCTTCCTAATTCTTCCACACCCAGTAATACCTTGTGTCTTAGTGGCTTTACTGCCTTGCTTGGAGTGAAATTGATTTAAAAAAAAAATAACCATTTCGTCAGGACCAATGTAGATCCTTCTTCGGATTTTATCAAGGATCTGCTATTTACCTTGACCTCCTTGATAAAATCCAAAGAAGAATAAGCAATATTATTGGCTTTGATCTGACAGCTCGGTTTCAGTCACTTTCCAACCACCCCCTGTGTCTTTTTCTATAAATATTTTCATAGTAATTGTTTGGATGAGCTCTTCACTATGATACTTAAACTTTTTTAATTTAAACTCAGTACTAGACTGGCATTGAGGTCTCATCAATTTACATTCGGGTTGGCTAGATGTAAAATTAAATTCTATGCTAACAGTTTCTTTTCTCACTTGCAGGGCCCCCTTCTGGCTCCATGTTTTCCAGACAAATTTAATCTTCAAAAATTTGAATGCAATGTAAATCACTATCTACTGTCCTCCTGATTACTATTTTCTCTTCCCGTTCATTATTAATGTTTCTATTGCTAATTCTTCCATACCCAGTAATACCTTGTGTCTTAGTAGCTTTACTGTCTTGCATGGGGCAAAACCGACTAAAACAATAAGAAAAGAGAGAGAATTCTTCCTTGTTCAAGAAACTGCTAAATCCCTTGAAATATATGTTACATTTGTGTTCAAACTGTATAGCTTTCTTGGAAGAAATTCTAAAAAACAGCTTGTTCTTTATTTAAAAAAACAAAAATTAAACATTATGTGACAAGGAGATAGGTATATAGTTCTTTTTTTGCCTTTTGTTTTTCAGAGATCAAGTGTAAAGTCAAAATTTTATGTTTGATCCCCCAAAGCTTTAAGAATCAGCAGAAAATATTTTTTGAAAGTAAGAAATGAAATGATTTGTTCAAAGAATGTCTTTTTGTTGATAGTTTTAAATTCAAAACATCTCAAACAGACTTTTCTTAATTTTCTTATCAGTGCATCATCTTTGGGAATAGAGTCATTTGGTAAATAAAATTTTTCTTTTTTAAATAGATACGAATGATATGTGATAAACAGATAGTCGTTGCTTCATTAATTTTTTTTTTTTTTTTTTTTTGTAATGAGTATGTTACCTGGAAATATTCTGGTCACAAATTAGACTTTGTTAAAGTTGTTTCTTTATAGAAAGGGATAGGTTTAAATTACAGAAAATGTAAATGAAATACAGAACAACTATATTGACTGTTAAGAATATACCATATTTACTGACATATAAGGTGTGTCGCTTTAACAAAAGAAAGGAACTTCTCCAAAAGGTTAACCTGTATTTTGATGATTAAGTTTGGTTACTCAACTAATAACGAACCACACGTTTGATAAACTAATGCCCTGATGAACCTAAAGTAAAAAATATATGACTATAAATGATTAAATTATGATTACAAAGCTAAATAATATTAAAATATAAAAAAAAAAAACTCCTGCTGGATACACTAGTCCACCGATGACCCCCAAAATGAAATACAAATGATTGTCTGGTTCAGACTCCTCCTTCATCTTTTGAACAGGAGTAGAAGGTTTATCCCTTGTTTCTTGTTTAGGATTGAGTTTCTGGTCCCTTCTCTTAAAGTCATCTCATTTTCTTTCAAGTAAGCCTTTGTGTCTTAGTGGCATTAATACCTTCTTTAGGGGTGAAATGATATAAAAAAAAAATGATTAAAAATCAAAATAATGTTAAAATATAAAAAAACTCCTGAATGATACACTAGTTCCCTGATGATTATAAATGATTAAATTATGATTACAAATCAAAATAATGTAAAAAATATAAAAACTAATGTGTAAGTATGGATGAACGTTCATTTAAATATTACTGGCTATTATCTAAAATTTATTTCTCAATTCTTGGACAGATAATGGCAGTAAATATGGCAAGAAACACTTGATCAATAATAAATTGTGTGTCAATATGTGAAAATATATTTTTGGAGGAAAATTGCTTTGTGAAATTTGATTTTCAAAGCAGACAAATATTTTTCTTGGGCATTAATAACAAGAGAAATTACAAGCTTACTCCAAATACGTATCTTCTTTTATATGTCATGTTTCTTCAGGTCTTGGGTGATCATGGCTCTCCACAACATCCTATCCTCTGTAGCATAAAACAATGTTTGTTCTCTTACTATTGCACCCTGCCCATGTTCTACGATCTGTTTGCACAAATTTATTAAGTAAGATACTTGTGGTTTCTCTCTGCCCCTTTGAGACATGGGTGATCATGACTCTCCACAACTTCCTATCCTTTGTAGCTTTAAGCAATGATTATCATCTTACTATTCTTCCCAGCCCTTGTTCTGGCATCTATTTACACAAGTTTTTAAGTACATTACATGCTGATGTCTTCTGTTCTTTCAAGACACAGTTGATCATGGCTATCCACAACTTCCTATCCTTTGTAGTTTTAAGAAATGTTTGTCTCCTGGGTTTTCAAAGTAGACAAATAGTTTCCTTGTGCATTAATTGTAAAAGAAATTACAAGCTTACTCCAAATACATATCTTCTTTTATATGTCATTTCTCTTCATGTTGTAGGCGATCATGATTCTCCACAGCTTCCTATCCTTTGTAGATTTACGCAATTATCTACATATGAAATTAAATTTAATACAACAATAAACTAATGACTAATTTTTAACTTATCTCTTTTTTATCAAAATTCTCAGCTTGTCATTTCTTTTGCTTCTACACCGAGAAGTACTAGTCTTGTGCTAATGAAGCATTCTTAATTAGTACTTATTTTCTTACTAGTATTCCTTTCATTGTATTTCTCTTGCATGTACACTTTTTAAAATCATTTCACCACCCACAATCAAGGCAATAACGCCACTAAGATGCAATGAACTACTGAAAGTGAAAGAAAGTGGCAAGACATTAGTGAGGAGAAAGGGCAATAAAAGAACAGCCTTCGAGAAGATCGCTGGTAGTAGAGTAGAAAGAAACCGGAAGAGAGTTCCACAAGCAAGAAGTGCAAGAAAAGAAACTATTAGAACAGAACTTAGTTACATCGAGATAATTTAACAGTAAAAGAATGAGACCTAATAGCCAATCAAGTAATATGTCTAAATTCATGTGGTCAAGATACCAAGCAAGGAAAAATTGCCATGAAAATATTTACAGAAAAGCCGGAGGAAAGCTGTGTCATGACAGTGGGAAAATGATTGAAGTCAAGATGCCAGGTTAGGGCTGATAAAATTGCAGACCCTTCTTCGAATTTTGTCAAGAATCTCAAGATATACAGCAGGATCATCAGACCAAATATGGCAGCAATATTTAATGCTTGGATGAATGGTGCATTTATAAAAATTACGAATAATGACAATCCTTCAGCTAAGAAATTTAGATTTTTTTAATCATTTCACCCCAAGCAAGGCAGAAATGCCACTAGCTTGAAGGGGGTTACAGGAAGTGAAAGAGAAGACTGAGAATAGTGAGGATTGAAGAAAAGACAAAAGATGAAGAGGATTCAAGGTAGAAGATGGTAATTGACTTTGCATTTAAACTTTTGAAGATTACAGTTATCAAGGAAGCAAGTAAATGGAAGGGAGTTCAACAGGTGGGTAGTGTGAGAAAAGAAACTGTTGGGGTGGTAGTTGCATTTAACTATTTCAACAGTAAAAGGGTGGGACCTAGATGCCAATCTAGTAGTACACTTAAATCCATGATGTCAGGACATCAGGGAATACCTTGTCAGAGCAGTTGCCATGAAAATATTTCTGGAAATGACAGGGAAGCCATGTTGCATCAGTGAGAAATTGACTGAAGTTGAGATGCAAAGTCAAGATCAATTACTGTACAGAGTCTTCCTTGGATTTTATCAAGAATCTCAAGATGTATAGCAGGAGCATCAGACCAGATATGGCAACAGTATTTAATGCACGGGTGAATGGTAGATTTATAAATGTGCAAGATGGATTGTGATGAGAAAAATTTTCTGGCACAACACAGTAACCCAAATTTTCTTGCAGTAGATATAGCTAGCTACTGATTCAATTTAGTCACTCTAAGTCAGTGAAATACGTTAGGCCAAGAAAGCATAGAGCGTTGCTTTCCTGGAATCTAGCATCAGACAGAAAAGGTTCTCCGTTACGTAATATCAGTTCTCACATGTAATCTTGAGATATATAGCAGGCACACCCGACCAGATAAGGCAACAGTAATCAATGCAAGGATGAATGGTAAATTTGTAAATGTGCAAGAAGGATTCTGATGAGAAAAACCTTCTAGCATGACACAGTGAACCAACTTTCCTTGCAGTAGATGCAGCTGTTGATTCGATATAGTCGTTACACTTAATGTCAGTGGAAAACGTGAGGCCAAGAAGGCGTAAAGTGTTGCTCTCCTAGAGTCTAGCGTCAGCCATGCTGATGGCAAGCAGAAAAAGTTCTCTGTGGTGGTTAAATGAAAGCAGTTTTGTTTCGGAAACATTAAAATTTACAAGCCATTTCTTGTCCCAGTTAACCATTGATTGTAGGTCCTTTTCTAGAGCAGCTGCCAGGTTTACTTTGTTGGGTCTGTCGAATTTACTTTTGAGAGAGAAATAAATTGTAGTGCCATCTGCATTAACTTCACAATTTTCCTTATAAGCAAGATAGGATTTTAATCAGTTTTTGGGTGGCTTTATTTTTGCACAAGAATTAATATTCAACTTGCTTAAATTTTCAAGCTTGGGTCTAAAGAAAGACATAATTAAATGAATCAGTAGAATTCTTGAATACAGTATAAAATAATGTAATTTGGTAACTCTCTTTAATTTTACAGCCATATCGAAACACCACTTCTAATTTGATCACTGAAGTTCAGCAATTTTGTGCCTGGTCAATACCTAGATGGGTGACTACTTGGGAATACCAGTTGCTGTAAGCTTAGATTTTTTATTTTTTTTTACAGTAATGTTCACACTTTACAAGGCCCAGGGGCCACTCGAGGTAGAAAGTTATGTTAGGAGACAAATTGTGTGCCTAGGGGTGGAAGACAACAGTTAACCCTAGCCTTGAACAGGTTAAGATTGTAGTGGTCAGGGGAATATCCTCTTGGGAGTCGGTTTTGCAGAGCAGTTGTTCTCGGGAAGGAACTTACTTCTCAATGATGAAATACAGAGGTAAGTGGCATAGCGTTTTCTTGCCCTGAAGATTTGAATTGGCAGGACCAGGGAATGTAGTCCATCCAAGCACTTTCCTGGTGTAATGTAACGTGTTTCAACATGATATAGCTGTAACCACCCTTGGGTTTAATAAATAGAAACAAAAGACATTTTAGTGTAACTCACCTAGTAGAATTGGTAGAATTCTTTGACTACAACATAAAATAATGTATTTAATAAGTCTTTTTGTTTAATTATACATTTTTTCTCTGTTGTTTTAACCCACGCTGATGTCATTCATGGAATTGTTTAAGATTTAGTCAAACTGAGTACAGTTGTCTACAAATGTGTCGATATAATTCATCGAGTCTAGAAGAATCCTCAACAGAATGGAGAAAGCACTGGACAGCCGAACCTGGACTGTTCCAATACAATACAAATTGGAATGGTCTGGATTTGATTCTTTCTGCATTCTGTTGAGGATTTATCTAAACTCAATAAATTACTATATTCAAATCCCCCCCAAATTTCTATCACTTACATACATATATATATATATATATATATATATATATATATATATATATATGGTGGACTCTCCCGTTGTATTCAACGTATGAGAGTCAAGAAGCTCAGTTCCTAGGAATCGATAATTCGGACCAGCACATATGACTTGATTATAGTGGTGAAGGCTTTGTGCAGAACCAATCACACTTTTTGAAGGGCCGAATGCAGAGACCTGGTGCACTACGTGACACAAGGTCCCCAAACAACCCTCCGCAGGTTTTGAATTCAGAGTTGTCCTTCTTTTAGACCAGCTGCCATCCAAGGCTATAGAACCCGGTTTGTCCTGCTATTTACTAATAGCTGGAGGGAGAGGAGTTTTAATACATTTTCTAAAGGGTATTAGTATGTAAGTGAATGTAATTGAACTTCAATCTTCTATGAATATCTCACATACATTCATATCTGCTCATTATAAACAGAACATTTACTTAAATATTTGTATCTATAACAAGAATGTATAAACATAAAAATGTCTTAAAATAACTGTCGGACTTTGTCCATTTCATAATGTGTGACGTCATTTGTTTACATTTGATACGCTATGAGCAAATATGAATGTATGTGAGAGATTCATAGAAGATTGAAGTTCAAACACAATAAATTTGACCTTGCTAACTGAACGTGCCTCTGTGGCAAATTGGTAAAGGCACCTCAAGCTAAATTACGGTTCTGTATAGGATACAGGTTCAAATCCTGTTGGAGGTCGAATATTTTTTATGAAATTTTCTCGAACATTCAGGCCAGTAAATGTTTTTTAATACTGTTTATTATAAACAGAGCATTTACTTAAATATTTGTATCTATAAAAAGAATGTATAAACATAAAAATGTCTTAAAATAATTGTCGGATTTGTCCATTTCATTATATATATATATATATATATATATATATATATATATATATACACATACACTATATTACTGGACTCTCCCATCATTTTTAGGCATATGAGTGTCAGCAACTCAGTTCTTAGGAACTAACAGTCAAACATCTGCACATATGAGGGTCAGGCAACTCAGTTTCTAGGAACCAAGAGCCCAGACACCAGTACATATGATTTGATTATAGTGGTGAAGGCCCTGTACAGAACCAACCACACTTTTTGGAAGAGCCGAATACAAAGAACTGGTGCACTGCATGCCACAAGGTCCCCAAATGACCCTCTGCAGGTTTTGAATTCAGAGTTGTCCTTCTCCAAGACCAGTTGCCATCCAAGGTTATAGAACCCGGTCTGTCCTGCTATTTACCCATAGCTGGGTGAGGGGTAGAAGAAGAGGATTCATACCTTTCCTAAGGGTATTAGCACATAAGTGAATGTAATGGATTCAACTGGAATTTGAACTCGGCTCTCTGATTCCTCAATTTGAGCCGCTATCCATTACTCCACCATGCCTCCTATATATATATATATATATAAACAATTACAAAAAATAAGTTCATTTTTTGTAAAGAATTTTATTTTTGAGCAAAGAAATATTTTATGCTTGAATTCAGAGTTTTTCTTTTCCTAGACTTATTGCCAACCAATGCTGGAGAGCCCAGTCTGCTCTGCTATTTAACCCCTAGTTGGGGGAAGAAGAAATGGGTTTATATTTTTTCGAAATATATTTGTGTGAAAGTGAATGCAACAGACACAGCATGATATGGGAATCTCTCTCTTTCTGTGCTGATAACCATGATGAATGTTGTGTTCATTTTTGCACAAATACCTTTGGAAAATTATAAATCCATCTCTTCTTCCCCCAGCTAGAGGTTAAATAGTAGAACACACTGGGCTCTACAGCTTTGGTTTGTGATCAGAAGGTCAATGCTGAATTCAAAACTAGTTGAGTGTGGACTGGTAACTACACCCTGTAAAAAAAGCCTAGTTGTTATAGAAACCACAGTAGCAATACCTAGTGTGGTGAGGGTGTGGCCCTATACTCTACAGGGAGTCAACAAAGTGATTGATTTAATAAATTTAGCTCAATGTCACAAGTATGGGGGCACTCAGTGATGATCAAACTCACTATTCAGTCATAATGATCAACAGACTTGTTAACCATTACCCAAGACATCTACATTATCTTAAGTTGTATTCAAGAATAAAATAATGTGTTTAGTAACTCTTTTTATTTAATTATACATTTCCTTTTGTTTATTTCCTTTTCTTGTTATTTTGAGTTGCTTGAGTTGACACTGATGTCAGTAGCTGAGTTACTTAATGGTAATGTTAGCCTTTTCCCTATAAGGAAACATTCAGCATTCATTCACCAAATGGTCATTGCTACTGCTTATGGTTGAAATTTATAAAATCATTCTATTAAAACAATTTTTCAGGAAAATAGATTGAGAAATCTATTCTCAAGTCCAGTAGCTGTTATCACTCCTTCCAGTACTGACAAGGGTTTCCTTACAAGCCTTTTATTTGAAGCAGTGTGGAACATCAACATCTTGATTATGCCATTATTTTCTCTTATAGTAGAGTTATATGTGCTACCGATTTTAGTTATTACAGCTGATGGTAGTTCTCAAGTGATGTGTCTTTTGTCACAAGGATCGAAGAAGTCATTTTTAATCATTGATCTGAGAAAATGGTTGTATACAGCTGACAGTTTAGATATTTTGTAATGTGCTTTGTGCCATGCATGATATTCATAGGAAAATCTCAATCTGATGGGGCTATTGAAGAACATAATGAGAATTTTAGGTCAAATTTTTTACTCTTTTTCACCCACTCTATTTCTTTCTCTCTATTTCTTTCTTTCTATTTCTTTCACTCTATTTCTTTCTCTCTATTTCTTCACTATTTCTTTCTCTCTATTTCTTCACTATTTCTTTCTCTCTATTTCTTCACTATTTCTTTCTCTCTATTTCTTTACTCTATTTCTTTCTCTCTATTTCTTCACTCTGTCTATTTCTTTCACTCTATTTCTTTCTCTCTATTTCTTCTCTCTATTTCTTCTCTCTATTTCTTTCTCTATTTCTTTCTCTCTATTTCTTTCTCTCTATTTCTTTACTCTATTTCTTTCTCTCTATTTCTTTCTCTCTATTTCTTTCTCTCTATTTCTTTACTCTATTTCTCTCTATTTCTTCCTCTTTTTTTTCTCTCTATTTCTTCACTCTTTTCTTTCTCTCTCTATTTCTTCCTCTTTTTCTCTCTATTCTTTCTCTCTTTTCTTTCTCTCTATTTCTTCACTCTATTTCTTCACTCTATTTCTTCACTCTATTTCTTTCTCTCTATTTCTTCACTCTATTTCTTTCTCTCTATTTCTTTCTCTCTATTTCTTCACTCTATTTCTTTCTCTCTATTTCTTTCTCTCTATTTCTTTACTCTATTTCTTTCTATTTCTTCTCTCTATTTCTTTCTCTCTATTTCTTTCTCTCTATTTCTTCACTCTATTTCTTTCTCTCTATTTCTTTCTCTCTATTTCTTTACTCTATTTCTTTCTCTCTATTTCTTTACTCTATTTCTTTCTCTCCATTTCTTTACTCTATTTCTTTCACTCTATTTCTTTCTCTCTATTTCTTTCTCTCTATTTCTTTCTCTCTATTTCTTTCTCTCTATTTCTTTCTCTCTATTTCTTTCTATTTTTTCACTCTATTTCTTTCTCTCTATTTCTTCACTCTATTTCTTTCTCTCTATTTCTTTACTCTATTTCTCTCTATTTCTTCACTCTTTCTTTCTCTCTATTTCTTCACTCTTTCTTTCTCTCTATTTCTTTACTCTATTTCTCTCTATTTCTTCACTCTTTCTTTCTCTCTATTTCTTCACTCTTTCTCTCTATTTCTTCACTCTTTCTCTCTATTTCTTTCTCTCTTTCTCTCTATTTCTTTCTCTCTATTTCTTTCTCTCTATTTCTTTACTCTATTTCTTTCTCTCTATTTCTTCACTCTTTCTCTCTATTTCTTCACTCTATTTCTTTCTCTCTATTTCTTTACTCTATTTCGTCACTATTTCTTTCTCTCTATTTCGTCACTCTATTTCTTTCTCTCTATTTCTTTCTCTCTATTTCTTTCACTCTATTTCTTTCTCTCTATTTCTTTCTCTCTATTTCTTTACTCTATTTCTTTCTCTCTATTTCTTTCTCTCTATTTCTTTCTCTCTATTTCTTTCTCTCTATTTCTTTACTCTATTTCTTTCTCTCTATTTCTTTACTCTATTTCTTTCTCTCTATTTCTTTCTATTTTTTCTTTTCTTCTCTATTTCTTTCTCTCAATTTCTTTCTCTCAATTTCTTTCTCTCAATTTCTTTTTCTTTCTCTCTCTATTTCTTTCTCTCTATTTCTTTACTCTATTTCTTCCTCTATTTCTTTCTCTCTATTTCTTTCTCTCAATTTCTTTTTCTTTCTCTCTATTTCTTCCTCTCTTTTTCTCTTTTCTTCAATTTCTTTCTCTCTATTTCTTTCTCTCTATTTCTTCTCTCAATTTCTTTCTCTCTATTTCTTTCTCTCTATTTCTTTCTCTTTCTTTTCTTTTTCCTCTATTTCTTTCTCTCTATTTCTTCACTCTATTTCTTTCTCTCTATTTCTTTACTCTATTTCTCTCTATTTCTTCACTCTTTCTTTCTCTCTATTTCTTCACTCTTTCTTTCTCTCTATTTCTTCACTCTTTCTCTCTATTTCTTTCTCTCTATTTCTTCACTCTATTTCTTCACTCTATTTCTTTCTCTCTATTTCTTCACTCTATTTCTTTCTCTCTATTTCTTTTCTCTCTATTTCTTCTCTTTCTCTCTTTCTTTACTCTATTTCGTCACTATTTCTTTCTCTCTTTTCTTTCTCTCTATTTCTTCCTCTTTTCTTTCTCTCTATTTCTTTCTCTCTATTTCTTTCTCTCTATTTCTTTCTCTCTATTTCTTTCTCTATTTCTTTCTCTCTATTTCTTCACTCTATTTCTTTCTCTCTATTTCTTCACTCTATTTCTTTCTCTCTATTTCTTCACTCTATTTCTTTCTCTCTATTTCTTCACTCTATTTCTTTCTCTCTATTTCTTCACTCTATTTCTTTCTCTCTATTTCTTCACTCTATTTCTTTACTCTATTTCTTTCTCTCTATTTCTTTACTCTATTTCTTTCTCTCTATTTCTTTACTCTATTTCTTTCTTTCTATTTCTTTCTCTCTATTTCTTCACTCTTTCTATTTCCTTCTCTCTATTTCTTCACTATTTCTTTCTCACTCTTTCTTCTCTCTATTCCTTCCTTCCTTCCTTCCTTTTTTGTTTCAATAGACTTTCCAAAATCTGACCAAATGACCAAACATCAGATATTTTTTGAAATGGCTTCTTGGCTGGGCTGAGAACTTTTCAGCACTTCTGTGTATATCCAATTGCTGTGTTTAACAGATTCAAGTAAGTTAGGCATCCTTTTTTTATTTCTTTATATAACTCGGATCAGCAAAAGGAGCAGCCCAACATACAAATTACAAATTGGAGATACAAAAATCAAGCAAGTACAACAATATAAATATATGGGAAGTGTTTTAATAGAGGGTGAAAAGTGTGATGCTTAAATCTGAAGGTGCATTGGAATAGCAAAAGATACCGTCTGAAAGCTAAGTAAAGTATTAAGAAATGGAAAATTTCATTAGAAAGAAAGAAATGAATGATGAAATGTTATGTAATATCAGTCCTCCTATATGGTCCTAAATACTGGACAATCTCAGCACAGAGATAATAAAAATCTGGTTCTACAGAAGGATGCTGAGAATACCATGGACTGAACATGTGAGCAATGACAAAGATTTTGAGAAAATTAAAACAAAAAGGACACTTATACTTAGCCTTAGAAAGAGATAGTTGAAATTTCTAGGGCACATAATATGGAAAGAGAGCTTGGAAAATTTGATACTCACAGGACATATTGAAGGCAAGGGGGTCAGAGGAAGGGAGCGCACAACCTACCTAACAAGCTTATATAAATGGGTGGCAGAACAGGGATTAGGAGAGATACCAAAAAGACAAACTTTGCTAAGGGTTACAAAAGGACAGGAAGTTGTGGAGACCCAATGTTCAGAATGTACACAGCACATAGATTTTTTTAGTTATAATGAATAACATGATAAATACAAAAAAAACCCTAAAAGACAAAGAGAGAGATTTAAAAAAATTAAGAATGGTCCTTAACCTGGAAGCATATGTATTATCACAAATATGAAAGGTTTTGTGTTCTGCTATGGTGTTTCAACTTCTGGGCATATGCCATAAAACATCAGTGAGCATCTTAATCTTGTAGATTATGGCTAGCATAAATGGTTCAATCCTCACTGCCTACTCCTCATTCTTACCAGACAAGCAAAAATTAGAAAGCTATTCTGTTACCTGTCTAATGAGAAATTGACAAGCCATAAGCACAACGTCGATGACAAAGAATTAAGATTTGGGAATTAAAAATCTAAAACACTTTGCGATAGAGATTTTTTTTTCCTTTAAAAGAAAAATCAAGATTTAAAAAAAAAAAAAAATTGGACAAACAAAACTTTTTTTGTTTAAAAATTTGTATCACTTCCGTTAAAATGTCTATCTTCTTTGGAAACAGCGTGATGATGATAAAAAAAAATGTGTTGTTGGCCTTTAGCAGATTTATACCACCAGGTGGCACGCTCAGCTGTCATCAGGTGGAGGGTGGAGAAAGTATGTCAGCATATCTCCTTTTCCTTTCACTTTAATGAAGCCCCTCCGTGTTGTTTGATAACCCCGTGGACATAAGATATCATTCAGCTCCTGTGTTATCTATAAAGAAGAGAAAAGAAATTATATTAATATTTAATTATATTAATATCTAAATTATATTAATATTTAAGAATTTCAGATAGTGAAATTTGAATAAAGATGAAAGGAAAAATTAGCTGATGTGTTTTGTCCTCTGATGCAAATGCAAGGATTTTATTTTGTAACAAGTATTTATATAAAAGAACAAAAATATTATTGGTTTTTCAAAATTTTTATCTATAGGAGTGCTCATTATTATTCATCAGGTTAGCAGAAAAGTCAGGTAAGTCATGGTGGACATGAAGTGATACAATTCAATGTCTAATAAATGGAAGCGAGTTTTGAATTTTTTCTTATATGCAAATCAGTATTTAAATTATTTTAGTTTGGGATTAATTCATGTGTTATATATTTCAAACAACATGACGTTATAGATTGAACTGTTTTCTTAATATTTTGGCTTGGAATGAGAGTAATTCTTTCAAGAATGGAAATATTGTAAAAAATCTTGATAATTTTGATAAGATTCAATAATGGCACTCTCGAGAATTTTCCTTCTAGATAAGTTACTTTCCCTTTTAGTAAGAGTGGTTTTCTTTAGATCAAAGTTGCAGTTGTATTTGATAAATTGTTATGTATAAGCTCCCTTTTGTGTTCATAGATACATTTTTAAAAAATTTCTGCAAGTTTCTCCACTGTATTGTGAGGAGCAGTTCTGACAATTTATTTTATGTATACCAGCTTCAGAATTATTACTGTTGTGGGTATTTTTGGTTCTGATCATATCTGTAATACAATTATAACAATATCCAAGAATTCAAATTTTCAGCTAACCTGATAAATATTTATGAGCGTTCCTATATCTAAAAATTTTGAAAAGCCAATAACATTTTTGCTTTTGTATAAAATCCTTGCATTTGCCTTGATAAAGTCTGCAGAGGATGAAACATGTTGGCTAAGTTTTCCTTTTGTCTTTGTTCATGTATTAATATATAATATTAATGGAAATATGGAGCATTTTCTTATGCCAAAACATTCAGTATTTGTTCATAAATTATTTCTTTGAAAACAATTTTCTATAAAAACAGTTTTCTAAAGTCCAGCAGCTGTTATCGCTCTTTCCAGTATTGATGGAAATTTCCTTTCTAACCTTTTATTTGAAGTAGTGTGGAATGTCAACATATTGATTATGTCATTATTTTCTCTTTCGGTTGAAATTTATAGAATCTTTCTCTTAAAACACTTTTTTTAGGAAAATAGGTTTCTAAAGTCCAGTAACTGTTATCGTTCTTTCCAGTATTGATGGAAGTTTCCTTTCTAACCTTTTATTTGAAGTAGTGTGGAATGTCAACATATTGATTATGTCATTATTTTCTCTTTCGGTTGAAATTTATAAAATCTCCTTCGTAAAAGACTTTTTTTAGGAAAACAGGTTTCTCAAGTCCAGTAACTGTTATCGCTCTTTCCAGTATTGACGGGCATTTCCTTCCTAACCTTTTGTTTGAAGTAATATAGAAAATTAACATTCTGAGTCCTGTTCTGGGTAAGACGATAACCTATATCTGAGAGCAAGGCCTCTGATCAGGTTTTGAGGGGTGTGGAACCATCTCTTCATTGCTGGTGTTCCCAGTTCCATCCTGACCTAGAGTAGTAGCACTAGTCAGAGTCCTTGCTAAGGGCAAATAGTTAACTCCCAAACTGGGGTTAAAACACTACGAAAGTGTAAAAATAAGCTTTAATAACATACTTTTTTGTAAAAAAAAATTATTACCAGCAATACATTTTTGGAAAAAGATATTACTAGCAATAAAAATTGTTGGCATTAAATAACCCATTGAGGTTGATATGCCATAAAACAAACCAAACCAACATTCTGATTATGTCATGATTTTTTCTTACAGTTACATGTTCTATACATTTTAGTAGTTGCTGCTGTTGAAAGGCCTCAAGTGATGTGGTTTCTGTTATTTGGTACATCTTTTCTCTATGGAAATAGCATGGCATATCCTAATTGTAAAAGTCTAAACTAGTGGAACTAAATAATGGAGCTCATTTGAATTTTTCAAATTTTATTTTTATTTAATCATTTCCCCCAGAAAGGTGAAATGTCACTAGAATGCAAGAGGTTACAGGGTGTGAAAGAGAATGAGAAGATTTTAGTGAGAAGAATTGAGGAAAAGAACAGGGTTCAATTAGACAGAAGATGACATTGCATTTAAATTTTTGAAGGCTGTAGTTATCAGGGAAGCAAGAAATCAGAAGGGAGTTCCACAGGTGAGAAGTGGGAAAAAAAACCCATTAGAATAGAAGTGACAGTAGCATCTATCTAGTTAAACAGTAAAATGGTGAGACCTAGTTATCAGTCTAGTCACACACTTATGGAAATAGCAATAGAGTGGTGATAGGCTTGTGACATTGCATCTGTGGAAAAGAGGCTGTAGAGGAGAAAGTAAGTCATCCTTCACAAGACCTTGTAAATAATTTTGAACTCTATCAAGGCTGGAAAGTGAGGATTGTGCAGCTCCAACACTAATATTTTGGCAATATCTAAAGAATGGATCTTCTCTGATTAGAATAGATTTGACTGAGATTTAACTTGAGGAGGTTAAGACTGATGTGAGGGTTCAGGAAAGCATCCATGTGGGAGCCTGTTCCACAAAGTAGTAATTCTTGGTTTGGTTTGTTTTGTTTTACGGCATATCAATCTCAATGGGTCATTCAATGCCGATAACCTTTTTTTTTTTCCTGGTAATATTTTTGTTTTGTCAAAAATCCATTTCTGTTAATATTTTTTTCTCAAAAATGTATAGCTGGTAATATTATTTTTTCAAAAACGTATAGATGGTAATATTTTTTTTTTTTCAAAAACGTATAGATAGCAATATTATTTTTTTTTTCAAAAACGTAGAGCTGGCAACATTATTTTTTCAAAAACGTATTTTCAGAGGCCTTGCTGTTGGATGTAGGTTATTGTCTTGCCCAGGATGCGGACATAGTTTATCATCATACCCAGGATGCGGATTTAGTTTATTGTCATACCCAGTATGAGATCTGGGTTTGGGGGTTAACTATTTGTCCATAGCTGGGACCCTAACAGGTGCTACCACCCCGGGTCAAGCAGGACCTGAGAACACCAGCAATTAAGAGGTGGTTTCAAACTCCTCAAAACCTCCTGATCCTACGCCTTGCTGCTTGACATAGTTTATCATCTTATCCAGGACGCGGATGCAGTTTATCATCATACCCAGGATGGTAGTAATTCTTCAAGGGAAAAACCGTCAGTGTGGAGGTAGCATGTCATGTTCTAGCTGTAAATGTCTGAACTTGTGGAATTAGAGATTGGAATTCATCGGAAAATTTGCCATGGAAATAGCGATAGAATAGGGATAGGCTTTCAACCTTTTATCGATAAGAAAGTGGCTTTAGAGGAGAAAATATGTCATCTTCCACAAGACCGTATAAATGAAAATTGAGGATTGAGCAGCTCCTGCCCAAACATGGCGTCAATACTTCATTTTTGGTCAAATTTGACTCTTGTAAAGATAAAGCATGGCAGAAGGAATCAGGTAGTTTTGGAGGTGGTAGAATCAGCTGTCCATTTTTCCAGCATCTTAAGTGACAGATCATATATCTTTTGAACAGAAGTATAGGTCTATCCCTTATTTCTTGTTTGGGATTGGGTTTCCAGTTCCTTCTAAAGTATTTCTATTCTTTTTCACTCATAGTAGCCCCTTGCATCTTAGTGACATTATCGCCTTTCTTTGGGTGAAATGATTAAAAAAAAAAGAAAAATAAAGTTCCTCTGGGATGAACTGGAGTCTCAAAATATATAAGAAATATCACAAGACTTTTGACTAAAACTGTAATATATTCATCATTGACATATTAAAAAAAAACAAAACAAGTTTATTTTATTCTTTACAGGGAAATCAGCCAAAACTGCCAAATGGCATAGCATTTTGGAATCTTGTAGATGGGCTCATTCCCTACCTGTTCTTTCTTTTGACTGGCTCTTTTGTGATGCTTAAATCTGATTGGCTCTTTTATGATGATTAAATCTGATTGGCTCTGAAAGGCTGTTAATATCACTTGTTACATTGAAGATTCCTCTTAGAGATAATATATCAACCTGACTCTAGCAGTGACATTATACTCTGCATGTGATCCATTATTGTACATAATTAAATTACAATAAAATTTGTATTTTATATGTATACTATGTTATGAAAGGAGGTACGGTGGAGTAATGGTTAGCAGCTTGGATTAAGGAATCGGAGAGCCGAGTTCAAATTCCAATCAAATCCATTACATTCACTGCAGAAAGAAATGGCAACCTACTTGTGGGAAAAAAATCTGCCTCACCAGTCATGTATCGAAATGATTGCCTAAGTGTGTATCATGCATGGCACATAAATGACTGACTGAATAAAATTTTGGACACCAACAAAAATATTTAAATATTCTTCTGGTTAAACACAAATTTTTCAATGGAAAATTTCAAGGTAGATCAAATGTCAGTTCATAAATTGGCTAAAAAGTTCAAAATTGCTTAAATCAACCATGGGGATCATTGCTAAATAATCCATTGGATCTTTTACATGATTGTGTTATTGAGTTTGTTAGGAGATCCTTATAGAAAAACTTGAACAGGATTCATGTTGTTGCAAAGTTTCTTTTCCCATTTTTCTCGTTATGCTCAGTCACAATCGATGGAGTGTTAAGCTTTTTTGAGAATATAAAAATGACTCAAATTTCATCTCTAAACTCATAAGGAATGTACAGAGTTCAGCAGAAATACCTTCCACATGATGGTAAGATATTAGCTAGATGAAGACATCAGTACTACTAATTTATTACCATTATCTGGAAGGTATTTCTATCACACACTATTATTTATTGGCATAATGTTGTATTTTTTTTAAAGCCTAATTCAAGATTCTTATATTAGTTTCAATTTTAATTTACAAAAAGGGTACCATTTTAAACTACTTGAAGGTGGATGTCACAAGAGCAAAGCCAGAGGACATAGACTGAAATGTTAGTTTAGTTTTTCCATCCGCTTGTGGAATAATGTATTATTCCATCTACGACATTTTACGCGCGCGCGAGTTTCCTCCCTTTCTTTCACACTCGCGGGCGCGCGCGCGCGTTTGACACCCCTTTCTCCCTCGTTCGGTCTAATACAGTAGTAACTGTTTTTGGTCACCAACCAAGCGACCTGTTATGCAAATTAGATTTTTGAAATCTTCCCGCGAAAAATTTGTGACGTCAACGACAAACTGTTGTTTCAGAAAATTTCAGTTCTGATCCAGACTCGGACCTAAGCAGACTCATTTTTAGCCATGTCAATATGCAAGGTTGACTGACGAAGGATATCTTACGATGCCAACACCAAATATTAATTCTGCGTCCCTTTTGGATCGTCATTCAAAACCCTTTTATAAGACGATGCATATACCAAATGATTAATCCTTCGTCCCTTTTGGCTCGTCATTCAAAGTCCTCCTCCGAGATGATGCAAAACATCCAAAATATTAATTCCTCGGCCCTTTGAGACTCGTCATTCAAAGTTCTACTCCGAGACGATGCAGAACATACAAAATAACAATCCGTCGTCCACTTTGGGTCTCGTCAGAAATCTGTTTTGAACCAGTACAAAAAAAAAGGAAGAAAAAAAAAATATGTACATAACAATAACATTCACTCACATTACCTAAAAACTCGCAGTGAGTATTTTTCCTTGTATGAATATTATCTTGTACATTGACTTATCTGGTATCTCCTTCTTCTTCAAGAACCTTCCCGCCTTTAGCCATCTTGCTTCTACTTTTGGCGCGGAACTTTTTCATTGATCCCTACTACGGGACAATTTACTTGTTTTCCTGCATTTAATAAAAATTACTCTTGTTGGAATCCAGTCTTGTTCTGTCATTCTGTGTCGGCTATCTTAATATATTTTATTTTATGCACGTGTGGATTAACCACATTTCTTCGTTGTTCATTCACGCACATTTTTATCTTTTTACTTTGCTTGTAGACTCGGTAGTTTAGTGTGGTGTCTGGCACAAGGCCACTTAGTAATAAACCAGCACTGCACCCTACCGGGCCTGCAACAAGATTGGTGACCTTACGACGTGATACGAACACGTAATAATTTTGCAACCTTGCCAACATATTTCTGAGCAAGCTTAAATATAAACGTGCATAAATTCGATAGCTGGAATGACGTCTAGTGACTCTGAAGAGTCGGCGAACATGTCCGCCGCCGTCGCTCCTTTTCCCCTCTTTCATGAAGGGAATATAAAGAACTGGTTCCTGCAAATGGAAGCTATCTTTACAGTCAGTCTTTTGGTCAGTAATCCTTCTAAGTTTGGCCACGTGGTGGCGGTTTTGCCACCCGCCATTGTTGATGAGGTCTCAGACTTCCTAGAAGCCGTTCCTGAAGTAGAACCCTACGCCCGGTTAAAAGAAGCGATCTTAAGGAGAATGGGCCGTACGGAGGAATCATTAATCCGGGAACTATTTAGCAACCTAACTTGCGATGGCAGGACTCCCTCCCAACTCCTTCGTTATATGAAAAGCCGACTCGGCAAAAAAATACCATGGCTGACTCTATATTAAAAAGCTTGTGGCTGGACCGTCTCCCCACCACCATTACCCAAATTTTGGCGCCAATGTCCGAAAACACCTCGATCGATCAATTAGCGGACGCCGCTGATCGTATTTTCTCGCAACTGGATAATCAGACAATGCCAGTACACAGTGCTGAAGCGACTAGGGACCACAGCTCCTTGGAAAAAACAGTCGAGGATTTGCAGCGCCAAGTTAAAGATTTAACGTTAGCTATAGAAAGCCATGGTCGAAGCCGGTTCCCCTCCCGCCGGCGCTTCAGAAGTCGACCACGCTCGTCAAGTCGGAACAAGGATGCCACTCCTACTATGTGTTACTACCACCGACGATTTGGGTCTGCAGCACACTACTGCACCAAGCCGTGTTCCTATACTGCGGTCGCGGGAAAACAAAACCGCCAGCGAGTGAAAGCGACTAATCTCGCTGGCAAGGCATTTTCACCAAAACTTAGTCGCCTCTTCTATGTGACGGATACACGTAATAATTTACGTTTTTGGTTGACACCGGCGCTGCCATTAGTGTCTTACCCGTGCGTGATAAAGCACGTAAACAACCTTTTCAGCTCCGCTTACAAGCAGCAAATGGTTCCAGTATTAATACTTACGGTACGAAGTCCCTTACCCTAAACATAGGGATGCGACGAGACTTTACTTGGAATTTTACTGTTGCTGACGTCCAGATGCCGATATTAGGTGCAGATTTCCTGGCGCACTATGATCTCGCCGTGCGAATGAACAACCATTCCCTGACTGACAACTTAACAAGACTGTGTGTTCTTGGCACTTATTCTAAATTTACTACCACTGGCATCACCGTGGCAACGTGCCACAATAAAGAGTACTTTAGACTTATTGAATCAGTACCAGGACCTCCTGCGTCCTGCTGGATCTATTGATTCAACTAAACATCAAACACAGCACTTTATTAAGACCACTGGTCAACCTGTTTTTTCCCGTCCTCGTCGTCTAGCACCCAACAAATTAAAATTCGCAAAGAAAGCTTTCGACGACATGCTACGAGAGGGTGTTATTCGTCCGTCCGACAGTCCCTACGCTTCCCTCTTCATTTGGTACCTAAAACAGGAAAGGAGGACTATAGAATTTGTGTGGATTATAGAAGATTGAATTCCATCACCGTCCGGGATCGTTATCCAATCCCCCACCTCCACGATTTCACTTCTGGTTTACAAGGCGCAAAGATTTTTACTAAAATAGATCTTGCGAAAGCATATTATCAGGTGCCAGTAGCTGCTGCTGATGTCCCAAAAACTGCTGTTACTACACCTTTCGGTTTATTTGAGTTTTTGAAAATGCCTTTCGGCCTTTGCAACGCAGCACAGACATTCCAACGTCTTATGGACGAGGTTCTGCGTGGACTCCTTTTGTTTTCGATTACATTGACGACATTCTGATAGCTAGCGAGGACGCTGCCTCGCATAAACAACACCTACACGAAGTTCTTCAACGTTTGTCCCATTACGGATTTCGTCTAAACCTGGACAAATGTGTCTTCGGATCAGACCATATAGAATTTTTAGGACATCACGTCGATGCAAATGGAATTGCCCCTTTAACTGAAAAGATTAAAGCTATCACTGAGTTTCCCGTCCCTGTTTCTATTAAACAGTTGAGACGCTTTATAGGGATGATCAACTTCTACAGGAGGTTTATTCCAAACTGTTCTAACATTCTGACTCCCCTTACCAACTTATTACAGAAGAAGAATAAGACTATTATACTTGAGAGTGAAGCCTTGGACGCCTTTCGAGCAGCTAAAACCGCTCTAGGCAATTTTTCTAAGCTCAGTTTCTTAGAGGACGACCCTCAATCGGATATCTACCTGACCACTGACGCTAGCGAAACAGCAATAGGCGCGGTCATTGAACAAGTCACTCCTTCTCAACGTAGACCTATAGCGTTCTTTTCCGCTAAACTTTCTCCTGCCCAGTCACGCTACAGTACCTTTTCTCGTGAACTGTTGGCTATATTTCGTGCCATTAAGCATTTCAGACACCTCCTCGAAGGTAGGTCCTTCGTTATTTTACGGACCACAAACCTTTAACGTCCATTATGTCCACCAATTCGGACAAATACACTTCGAGGGAAATCAGATACCTGGACTATATATCTCAATTTACTACTGATATTAGGTACATTAAGGGTTCGGATAACACTGTTGCCGATACCCTATCTCGTACTGAGATGTTCGGCGTGCATACTGATGCACTCAGTCAAGACTTGATCGCCGACGAACAGAAAGCGGACATAACTCTGAAGCATGTGTTATCAGACACTTCTTTAGAACTTCAGAAATGTCCAGCTCCTTTTAGTAACAAGGTCCTATACTGTGATGTTAAATCCAAATCCCCAAGACCTTATGTTCCTCCGTCTCTTCGTAGACAGGTTTTTGACCACCTACACGGACTCTCACACCCTAGCAAAAGAGCCACAGTTAAGTTAATTTCGGACCGTTTCGTTTGGCCGAATATGAACGTTCACATTCGCGAATGGGTCAATACATGTTTACAATGCCAGAAGTGTAAGGTGCATAGACACACAAAATCTCCTGTGGGCACCTTCAGCGAGCCTGATGCTCGTTTTACTAATATACACCTGGATTTAGTTGGGCCCCTACCAACCTGCCATGGTTATTCCTACCTTCTAACTATAGTGGATCGTTTTTCCCGATGGCCTACTGCCATCCCTGTCAAAGATACCACTGCTGTGACTGTCGCAAAAGCTATTTTATGCGACTGGATTTCGATTTTTGGGACTCCTAAAGTGGTTACTACAGATAGAGGAGCACAGTTCCAGTCGTGTCTTTTCAGGGAATTCACTGAACTCCTTGGTGCAAAGCATATACGTACTACAGCGTATCACCCCTGTGCGAATGGGCTGGTGGAACGATTCCATCGCACCCTTAAGGCTTCGCTATCAACGAAGCATGAGAATAATAATTGGGTCGATGAATTACCCCTCATCCTTTTATCGTTAAGAAATATTCTTAAGGATGACTTGAAATGCTCCCCTGCAGAGCTTGTATTTGGTACTTCGTTATCTTTACCTGGCCAATATTTTTCACCAGCTGTGACCACACCACCAGTTTCTTCCTCTTTTTATTCAGGACTTACGCCTTAAAATGGCAAACTTATGCTATACACCACCGCGGCACTGCCCGAGTGATATCTATCTACCGCATCAGCTCAAGGACTGCGAATTTGTATTTGTACGTAATGACTCTGTTAAGCGGCCTCTTACGCCGGCCTACACAGGCCCATACCGCGTTCTTAAACGCGCGGACAAATATTTCCAAATACAAAAAGGTATTCACACCGACAACGTTTCAATAGATCGGTTGAAACCTGCCTTTATAGAGAAACCGTCGTCTCATACTACTTCCCAATCAACTCCGCAAGTTCAGGAGAATTTCAAGACACCTGTCTCTCTCGACAAACCTAAGTATACCAGCTCCGGTCGAAAAGTCACCTTTCCAAAGAAATTTGAAACATTCTACTATTATTAGTCAAATGTCTGCGACATTTGATCCAGGAGGAGGGCTGTGTGGAATAATGTATTATTCCATCTACGACATTTTACGCGCGCGCGAGTTTCCTCCCTTTCTTTCACACTCGCGGGCGCGCGCGCGCGTTTGACACCCCTTTCTCCCTCGTTCGGTCTAATACAGTAGTAACTGTTTTTGGTCACCAACCAAGCGACCTGTTATGCAAATTAGATTTTTGAAATCTTCCCGCGAAAAATTTGTGACGTCAACGACAAACTGTTGTTTCAGAAAATTTCAGTTCTGATCCAGACTCGGACCTAAGCAGACTCATTTTTAGCCATGTCAATATGCAAGGTTGACTGACGAAGGATATCTTACGATGCCAACACCAAATATTAATTCTGTGTCCCTTTTGGATCGTCATTCAAAACCCTTTTATAAGACGATGCATATACCAAATGATTAATCCTTCGTCCCTTTTGGCTCGTCATTCAAAGTCCTCCTCCGAGATGATGCAAAACATCCAAAATATTAATTCCTCGGCCCTTTGAGACTCGTCATTCAAAGTTCTACTCCGAGACGATGCAGAACATACAAAATAACAATCCGTCGTCCACTTTGGGTCTCGTCAGAAATCTGTTTTGAACCAGTACAAAAAAAAAGGAAGAAAAAAAATATGTACATAACAATAACATTCACTCACATTACCTAAAAACTCGCAGTGAGTATTTTTCCTTGTATGAATATTATCTTGTACATTGACTTATCTGGTATCTCCTTCTTCTTCAAGAACCTTCCTGCCTTTAGCCATCTTGCTTCTACTTTTGGCGCGGAACTTTTCATTGATCCCTACTACGGGACAATTTACTTGTTTTCCTGCATTTAATAAAAATTACTCTTGTTGGAATCCAGTCTTGTTCTGTCATTCTGTGTCGGCTATCTTAATATATTTTATTTTATGCACGTGTGGATTAACCACATTTCTTCGTTGTTCATTCACGCACATTTTATCTTTTTTACTTTGCTTGTAGACTCGGTAGTTTAGTGTGGTGTCTGGCACAAGGCCACTTAGTAATAAACCAGCACTGCACCCTACTGCAACACGCTTGATGTTGGATTTTTCCTTGACTATTTATATATATGGGTCAGTGGTGCATTGTGGTTAATCTATTCTGTCAGTTATTTTTACGAGAGTGGCTTTATTTATTTATTTATTTGTTTTTCATTTTGTATTGTTTATTCTTTTCTGTTTTTGATATTTTATTAGCGTAGTAAAAAACTGGGGGTGGATTTGCTTAGGTCATTTATTTAATAGTTAGTCTTGGTCTAGGAAGATAATTAAGGCTATTTATTCATTCAGTGTTTAGATTGCTTACCCTAGTCTATTCTGTTATTTTGGCAGCGGGACAGTTTTTAATTTATTTGGGTTTATTATTTTTACTTGTTTTTGCTTATTTATATTAGTTCTGACAGTTATTTTAGTGGGGTTGATTTGTTAATTTGTTTATTTATTTATTTATTTGGATTAATTTTTTTTTTTAATTATTTATTTTTTATTTTGTATATTTTATTTACTCTATTTGTTTTTCGATTTTTGAGTAACGTATTGTTTTTATCGTTATATAGTAGTTATAGCTATTTCTACATCCAATTGCACTTAGCATGAAATAGCTTGTCACCTCTGATTGTTGACTTCAATGTTCACTTTTATATTTACATATGCTCTATCTCTGATATTGAGCACTTTATCCTATAAATATAGCACACATTAAAACTATATTTCTTCACATTCTTCACATACATACACACATATATATATACATATAGGGTATTGATTTTCAAAGGAATATTTTGGGACCGCTCTCATTTACTGTAGGTAATGAGATCCCACTGAATAAGTAAATGTTTGTGATTACAATGTGCATTTTAATTATACCAATATGCTCATTTTGGTCATTATGCTCAAAATGTTTTGGTTATTGCTTTCTTCAGATGTTTGTCATATATTGTAACCTTAAAGTTTTTAAGCAAACCCATTATATCTGTCGATCAGTGTGGATTGTTCTCATACATCCAGGAATGGTAAGCATATATAGAGAATATGTCAAGAATATCCGTACAGAAACATCACCACTAAATCCAATCATGTGTTTTAAATATATAGATGATTCCTTGACAGTCTTGGACCTTTTTACCCACAAAACAAAGGAGTGTTAAAAAGAAAGTTTTTACTTTGACTAAAATTGTAATAAAACCTAAACAAATGAAAGTGAATTTATATATTTTCTTTGTCCTCGAGAATTGTCAACAAAAAATATTAAACACTATTTATTTATTAGATTATTTACAAGAATAATTTTATATTTATAATATTCTAAAAAATCTAATACAACTAATGCAATGTAATATTTATCATTTACCAATTTATAAAGAAACATATATGGAAACAATTTTTTATTCATAAATTTATAAACATTTACTAAATGTTTATAAATAATATGGGAACTAATTTTTAGGAAATCCTTAATATTTACCATTTTATAAAGTTGGAATCAATTGAAAATTAGCCAATGCTTTGCCAAACATTCTAAGTAATATCCAAGTAATATCTTTATTATTATAAAACTCTGTTAACGTTGCTTGTGTGTTTGCCAGAAGTCATATATAGAGAGTGGATGAAAGAAAGATATAAATTTATTATCATGTAGAAATGGAGGAGAGAAGGAAATGGTGTATATTTGTCTCTCTCTCTCTCTCTTTCCACCTCTCTCTCTTTCCACTTTCCTGTGATTTCATACGTGCTTATTTATATTTCATCACTGTATGGAGTGGCATCACTAAGCGGCCGTCATGAGACCCATGTGAATTATCTCCACCAAAGGGAGATAAGCACCTTCTGTATCTCTACACCATAAAGAACTATATTTAATTTAGAAATAGCTAAAAATATAACCTTGGTTTTTTCCACAGATTTTAAGAACTCACTCGTCCTTTAGTGAAAGACAGATTCCTACTTGTTTGAAAATTTAACTGTAACAGAGAATCAGGTCAGCCTAATAAAAGATTCTGAGTTGGTTCTATGTAGTGCTGTAAGCACCAGGAGTTGCATCCCCTTCCACAATGGTCCTTTGAGAGAAGACCTTCTGCATAGAGTAGGTGGTGCAGACAATTTGCTTATGAACGATACTGGACAGGTATTAGCCAAAAGTCAGTGTGGGCCTGGGACTGGGAGAGCTATATAACACCAGTGTTTTTCTCAGTTGAAAGAGGTGCTCTCAACAGGTGGATGTGCAAAAACCACACAAGATGAACACATTAACATGATTATGAAATAAATATTTTTGGTTCAGTCTGAAATTAAAAATATTTTTAAAATAGGCACTGAAATATAAACCGTTTTTTTTCTATTACTTCTGTTCTTTATCTCAGAAAGCTGACATTTAGGAAAAAATATTAAGAAAATCCTTACCAATTCTCATTTTAAAGTTGTTGAAGGAATGTTGGTTTATGATTTTTAGTTGCCTCTGAATGGCAAAAGCATATTCCACGAGAGCCACAACATGTCTCATGTCTGTAAAGTTGGAATCTGGACTCAGGCCGGATGCTGCCATAAACGTGTAACCGATTGTCTTGATTTTCTGAACGCATGCATATTGTGGCTCTTCAAGAATCTAAAAATAGATTTTTAAAAAATCATTTCATGGGGAAAAGGCATTTTTATGCATGTTGACCCTGACTTACTTGAAATTAAGTTTTACAAGATTTCCTCATTCTGTGATAGCAGGAGCCAAGAAAGACAATTGTTATATAATTGCATAAATACAATATTTGAATAAGTCACAAGTACACAAAAACACTGATATAATGGAATATGCGTACACTTGTGTTCCCCCTCACTGGAATATGATTGGCTGGTGTCTGTCATAAATATCGACGGATGTGTAGGTACGAGAGTCAAGAGCCTTAGTCTGAGAGCTAAGTCTAATTATAGACTTAGCTCTCAGACTAAGGCTCTTGACTCTCGTACGCCCATTGGACTACACCATTGATCTACACTTCTTACCTGTGACTATGACGTGTACCAGTCAATTACTGCTACCATATTCTGCTTGGTTATAGTAGCCAAAACCACTTAGCTACTTCGTTCAAATATATCCCTTTCCGGGACATATCAAACATATATGAATTAATTATAAAAAGGAGTGCAATATTTATGCTCGGAATGATACCAGAAGGAACAAAACAAATGCAAAAGGATGTACGAGGGACATTCCAGAAGTTTTGAGTCTTTTTTTAAAACAGGCAATTATAACTGTCCTAGATTATTGTAATTTTAGCATACCATTAATATACATCTAATAAACTAACCTGCAAACTTTCGTTATTCCAGACTGAAAGAGACAGATGTAACCGCTCTTTGAACACACCCTACTAAACATGGCTTTTAACAGTTGATTAGTTTGCAGAATACATTTGGGATGTGAAGACAGTTTGTAAGCACACTATGCAATAAAGTTTTCTGTTGGTAGAGAAAGGAATCAAAACTTACTCTCCCTGCAGTCCAGACCTTGCTCTCTTTGACTTTTGTTCCCTAAGCTGTATATTTAGGCAGCATATTTTCATTCAAATTTAATTTTGTCGATTAATTTCTGTTGTGATCCTTTCAAGTTTGCAGATTCATTTTTTATTATATACATATGGCTAAAAGCAAAGAAAAAGTTATTTCCCTTTACATTGGAAGAAAACCAACAGAACATGTGAACATGTGAACTTTGAACTTTGAAATCTAGAACGTTGCTTAAGCAGTAAAAAGATGAACAGTTGAAATGTTTTAAATTCACAGAAACACACACACACATATATATATATATATATATACACACATATATATATATATATATACTTACAGACAAGGGCAGTTGTTTTGAAGATATTGAGAAGATAAAAGAGGCTATGACAAGAGTCCTGGACATCTTCACTTATCCAAACCCATGGTACCTCCACAAACTGGTTGGAAGGTTACAAGTACATTGAAATCAGAGAATCCTACTTTGAAGATTAAAGGTTTTTTTTTTACTTCTTTGAAATTAATAAATATCTCTCTTGAAAGAGTTTCAAAAGTTCTGGAATGCATTTTGTATATCCATGTTTTATCAAATATTTGATAAAATATTTCACAAAGAACTGTTTTAATAGCTAGGTAGGCTTGATTTATTTGTGTAAGAGAGAGTAATCCAGAACTTGTACTGACAGCAAACTATCAGCATATAGATAGAAAAAAAATTCCATAAATACACAAAAATAGAAAGGGGTTGAAGACAAAGATGGGTCTTCTCACCAGACTTATTCAACTGTATAAAGTGAGACAATTCTGAGAGAATTAGAAGTCCTAATAGGATTTATTGTTGGCAGCCACAATCTTAATATAAGATATGCAGATGACACAGTGTTGATAGCAGACATAGAGAGGAAACTATAAGAACTCCAACAGAATATAGTGAAGGAAAGCAAGAAGAAAGGACTAAACATCAATTGTAAGAAGAGAGAATGCATGGATGTTAGCAAAAGGAACTGCCCAACATGTAAACTACAAATTGGAAACACCAAAATTGAGCAAGTACCAAAAATTAGAAAATGTTTTAACAGAGGACAAAAAATACAACACCGAAATCCAAAGGTGCATTGGAATAGTGAAAGATGACTTCCAAAATTTAAGCACAGTATTAAGAAACAGGAAAATTTCATAAGAAGCAAAGAAAAGAGTACTGAACTGTTATGTAATAGCAGTCGTCCTATTTGGCAGTGAATGCTGGACAATCTTTTTAAAGATGGGAAAGAGACTTGAGACAACAAAAATGTGGTTCTACAGAAGGATACTGAGAATACCATGGGCTGAACATGCGAGCAACAATTTTGGAGGAAATGGAAACAAAAAGGAAACTTATACTTAACATCAGAAAGAGAAAATTTGAAATTTCTAGGGAACATAATGTGGAAAGAGTACTTTAAAAATTTGATACTCACAGTATATATTGGATACAAAAGGAACAGAGGAAAGTAGTGTATAACATACCTAATGATCTTGTGTAATTGGTTGGCAGAAAGAGGATTAGAAGAGGTAGCAAAAAAATGCAATTTACTTAGAGCTACAAAGGACAGGAAATTGTGGAGAGCCATGATCTTCCATGTCCTGAAGAGGCATGGCTCATAGAATAATGAGTTTGTGTAAATGGTTGCTAGAACAAGGTTTAGAAGAGATAGCAAAAAGACAAATTTTACTGAGCTATAAAGGACAGGAAATTGAGGAGAGCCATGATCTTCTATACCCTGAAGTGACACAGCACATAGAATGAGTTTGTGTAAATTGGTGGTAGAACAGGGATTAGAAGAGATAGCAAAAAGACAATTTACTAAGAGCTACAAAAGATAGGAAGTTGTGGAGAGCAATGATCATCCATGTTCTGTAGCAACATGGCACATAGAAGATTCATAAAACTGCACTTATGACAAGTATACAATAGAAAATTTGGTGCAATGACATATATATATATATATATATATATATATATATATATATATATATATATATATATATATGTAAATAGACACCCCCATTTTCAACTTTCCATCTTATGAGACACCAATGTCCTATAGTATCTATCTAATTTGCATTGTTTCTTTTCAGATCTGATGGCCTTACTCTGTATAGCAATGATCAGAGACAGAGGGTCAGTAGAATTGTCAAGATTTTAAGGGGCAAAATTATTGGGCTGTCAGAAGGAGGACTCAGTCTGTACAGAATTGTAGAAAACTTTTAATATCCTTCTTGATACATGTTTTTGTATATATATATATATATATATATATATATATATATATATATGATTGGTGTATATGGAATGAATTCCAATAACCAACAAATACTATTCTTAAAAGAGTGCTCAATACAAAGTAGAGCAGATATAATTATTTATTTAAAAAAAATTTATAACATAAATATGTTATAAAATCGCTACAAAAATAGCCATTTTGTTTCAACACCCTTGGTGTCTTATCAAGTGATGATGTTGAATGTAAAATAAATGGTTTTTGATTTTAAAAGATTCGAATTAATTAACAATCCTTCACAAGGGGAAAACGTTGTTACAAAAGCTAGATGGACCAATCAAAATACAAGTATAGGAAAATTCAAAGCGCTTGACAACGAAGTCATGTTATAATAGCTATTCAGATGTTTAAAATATGGGTAGTATTAAAAAAGAATTTATTTTAACCAATAATTACTAAACTATATGATAAAATTTAATATTAAAATTAAAAAAAAAAAAAATTTCAAAATCAAAATTTAATCGCTATTAAAGTTTACAACTATAAAATTACTGAGGAGAAAAAGAAGAAATATAAATGTTATTCAATTTATTTCTTCATTGAAGTTAAACCATTTATTTTACATTCAACATCATCACTTGATAAGACACCGAGGGTGTTGAAACAAAATAGCTATTTTTGTAGTGATTTTATAACATATTTATGTCATAAATTTTTTTTAAATAAATAATTATATATATATATATATATATATATATATATATATATATATATTACTGTTCAAAAGTTTGACAACACCTCTGGTAATTTTTTTAAATTGGCTCCAAAAGTAGCTGTTTTGTACTTTAAGAGAAAATTATTATATATGGTTAAAAAAGAGAAACATGATTTCTTATTAGAAATTATAACAAAAACAAAAAAATCAGCATTTTATGATTAAATTTTGCTCCCATCAAAATATCCTCCTTTAGCCTTGATTACTGCAGTACAAATTTTTGAAATTCATCACAAAAGTTTCTCAAAGTATAAGTTTGATAAATGATTCCATTCTTTTTTCAATGACTTTAAGACTTTTTTTTTCATTCTTCTGTCAAGTTCCTCCCATGTTAATTCTGTAGATGTCTCCAAACTTTTGAACTGTAGTATATAGTTATTTAATTATTTTTAATCATTCCATCCCAAACAAGGTGCTAAAAGCCACTAAGACGTAAGAGGTTACCGAGTGTGAAAGAATCTGAGACAAAACATTATTAAAGAGAGAGGCCAATAAAAGAACAGGAATTAAGGAAACAGATGATGATTGACATTGCATTTAAATTCTTGAAGATCAAGGTTGACGGGAAAGCAAGAATACGGTAGTGAGTTCCACAAGCAAGAACTGCAAGAGAAGAAACTGGCAACACAGATCTTACAGTTACATCTACACAATCTCCTCCACTGCTCTCCAATTAATTCTGGACCATCTCATTCATAGAAATCAGGTTTTACTCACCTCATCAAAATCTGCAATGATTTCATTTAGCAATCGAAGACATTCGGCACCTTCGTTATTGCCTACTAATTCCATGTAAAATTCTGAGAAGTTAGATATGGAAGCAAACATCACACAGGCATTGTCACAATCCTGATAATACAAATCCTAGAGAAAGAAAAAGATTAAAAGACTGTATATATGTGACATATGACAAGAAAGGAAACATTTATCATTTATAAGTGGGGAATGGGTTGAAAGGAAGACAGGTTGGAGAGTAAAACTAGATGAACTGAAGTGTGACGATAGACGTAAAGGTGGACAGCCTAAACAGCTAGGAGTGGAATGAAGGAGATAAACTGAAGGGTGGGGTGGGCATGAAGGGGGATAGACTGAACAGATGGGAGTCGAGTGAGGGGAGATGGTTTGGTTTGGTTTGTTTTATGGCATATCAACCTCAATGGGTCATTTAATGCCGGCAACTTTTTTTTATTCCCTAGTAATATTTTTGTTTTGTCAAAAATCCATTTCTATTAATATTTTTTCTCAAAAATGTATAGCTGGCAACATTATTTTTTCAAAAACGTATTATCAGAGGCCTTACTGTTGGATGTAGTTTATCATCTTGCTCAGGATGCAGATGTAGTTTATCGTCACACCCAGGACACGAATGTAATCTGAGTGTTAACTATTTGCCCATATCTGGGACCCTAACAGTTGCTACCACCCTGGGTCAGGGTGGACCTGAGAACACCAGCAATTAAGAAGTGATTCCATGCTCCTCAAAACCTCCTGATCAGCAGTCTTGCTGTTGGACGTAGTTTATCGTTTTACCCAGGATGCGGATTCAATTTATTGTCATAGAGGGGAGATGGACTGAAGTATGAGGATAGATATAAAGGTGAACAGCCTGAACAGCTAGGAGTGGAGTGAAGGAGATAAACTAAAGGGTGGGGTGTGTGAAGAGGGATGGACTGGAAGTCGAGTGAGGGGAGATGGACTGAAAGTGTGGGTATGTGAGTAAAGGAGGATAGCCTAAACAGTTAGGAGGGGAGGGAATGGGAGCAGAGTGAAGAGCAAGGAAGGCAGCAAAGTGGGACAGGCTGAATTGTTGGGAAGGGGGTGTAGGGGAATGGAGAATGGAGGAGAGACTAAAGAGCAAAGTTGGTGGGGTAGTCTGAATAACTAGAAAAGAACTGAATGGAACCAGACTGAACAATGTTGAGTGGACCCAAGCGGGATAGACTGACTGGTTTGGAGAAATGCAAAGGATGATGAACTTAACAGCTGGGTGGGGGTGAGCAAAGGGCATAGAATGAAAGACTGGGAGAGGAGCAAAAGGGAATGGATAATGGGGAGTGAAAGGGGAAAAAGTGAAAAGCTTGTAGGAGGGCAAAGTGGAACAGATGGTAGGTCTGAGAGGGGAGTGAGATGGGAAAAACTGAGAGGCAGGGAGTCTAGTGTAAGGAGATAGAAGAAGGCGGTGAGCAAAATGAGAGACAAGGGAGAAGAGCAAAAGGCACAGACTGAATAGCAGAGGGGAGTTAGGGAGCAGACTGAAGATGACAGTAAAGTAAAATGGACTTGAAAATGCAATACAAAAAGCCAGTTTTATTTTAATACATACCTCGTCTTTCTTGAACTGATTTTTGAGAAAATGCTCAGCTACATTTAGTGGCAAAATGTTGCAGACCAGTTTTAAGTTGTATGCCTTCAAATTCTTCATTTGTTCCATTTCTTCCATTGCCTAAAACAAAGAACAATATTTTAAAGCCAGAAACAGCACTGTTTAACCCTTCCACCAGTCACTGACTGAATTCTTTTATTCTTTGTAAACCTTCAAGGAAATTGTGTTACTTTGAAACTAGTTTCTTTTCTTCTAAAAGGTCCCTGCTATTTCTGTAGACAACTTTAACAATTGGTCATTGTGTAGGGCCCTGTTATTCATCTATAATATTAATGACATCTTTCAGCGGGACAATGCACACTGCCACATTACATGAACTATACAGGAATAATCTCAGAAATATGAAGAAGACTTCATTGTGTTGGCCTGGATATCAAACTCTCCAGATCTAAATCCCATTGAGCACTAACAGAATATGTTCAATGAATATGTTTGTTCTGCAGACCTCCAGTCTATAATTTGCAGCAGATACTGATAGTAAAAACATCTGTGCATCAGATCTCATTAGAAAACTATTTTTTAAGCATTTCACCCTAGCCAAGACAGGAATGCCACTTGTGCGAAGGGGTTACAGGTGTTGACCATGTTCACCATAGTCTATAGAATACAGCGTAGTACGTAATCTGTTCAATGAAACAACGTTAAAGATTAACACTCATGAACAAAGATTGGCAGTGAGTATTCGGGGAAAAAAAAATGGCTGCCTTTATACACATCGCATTGAATATTTTGAGCCTTCTGATTGGTTAACCCTTTTATTGATGAACTATAAAATGAGTCAGCTCATTTTGGCTGGCTCACTAGTACCCAAAAATTCCAACAACAGGGAGTGAAAAAGATGACTGAGTATAGGGAGGACTGAGGAAAAGACAAAAGATGAATGGGATTAAAAAAACAAAAAACAGGAGATGGCAATTGACATTGCATTTAAACTTTTGAAGACTGTAGCCACCAGGGAAGCAAGTAAATGGAAGGGAGTTCCACAGGTGGGAAGTGCGAGGAAAGAAAATGTTGGAGTAGTGGTGGTTACATTTAACTATTTCAACAGTAAAAGGGTGGGACCTAGATGCTAATCTAGTAGCATGCTTAAATTCATGTATTCGGGCACCAGTGAAAAAAGTTTGTTAGAGCAGTTGCCATGAAAATATTTATAGAAAAGTCAGATGGAAGCCATGCCATGATGGTGAGAAAGTGTCTGAAATTGAGATGCCTGGTCAAGATCAATTACATTCTTTGGATTTTGTCAAGAATCTCGAGATGTATAGCAGGAACACCAGACAAGATATGGCAATAGTATTCGATGCACAGATGAATGGTAGATTTGTAAATGGTTTCTGATGAGACAAATTTTCTGGCACAATACAGTGACCTAACTTTCCTTGTAGTTGATGCTGCTATTGATTCAATTTAGTTGCTCGTAGTCCATGGAAAATATATGGGCTAGAAGGCACAGTGAATTGCCCACCTATAGTCTAATGTCAGTCATAATGATAGCAGGCAAAAAAAGTTCTCTGTGGTAGTTAAATGAAAGCAGTTTTGTTTTGGAGACATTAAAATTTACAAGCCATTTCTTGCCCCAGTTAACCACTGATTGGAGTTTATTTTCTAGAGTAGCTGCTAGGTTTACTTTGTCAGATCTGACGGATTTGCTTTTGAGATAGGAGTAAATGGTAGTGTCATCTGCATTAACTTCAAAATTTTCCTTATAAGTCAGGATCATTTACTTTACAGATCCTTCTTTGGATTTTGTCAAGAATCTTGAGATGTTTAGCAGGAACACCAGACCAGATATTCAATGAATGGGTGAATGGTAGATTTGTAAATGTGCAAGGTGGATTCAGACGAGATAAATTTTCTGGCACAACACAATGACCCAACTTTCCTTGTAGTAGATGCAGCTATTGATTCAATTTAGTCACTGCTAGTCAGTGGAAAATGTGAGGCCAAGAAGGCACAGTGTATTGCTCAGCTGGTATGCTTAAATTCTTGCAGTTGGAGCATCAGGGAAGATAGCAGTTACCATGAAAATATTTGTAGAAAAGACAGAGGGAAGCCACATCACATCGGTGAGAAAGTGACTGAAGTCAAGCTGCCTGGTCCGGATAGTGTACATTACATATCCTACTTTAGTTTTTGTTGAGAACCTCAAAATGAATAGCAGGACCACCAGATGAGATATGGTAACAGTATTCAATACCTGAGTGAATGGTAGATTTGTAAATGTCCAAGATGGATTCTGATGAGAAAAATTTTCTGGCTCGACACAGTGACCTAACTTTTTTTTCAGTAGATGCAGTTATTGATTCAATGTAGTTTGTACTCAAGAAAAGCATTTAGAAAATGTTTGAGTGTATTACAGATTTATGAATTTCTATGCTTGCTTATTTTGTTCATTATGAGAAAGATTTATGAGGTAATAAAATAAAGATGGTGGAAAGAACTGGTGAGGAAACATTGGCAAAATGACTTTTAGATTAATTACTTCATTTAATCATTGATGCTTCCATGGCCAATAATCACCATAAAATTGGGCTGCTGAAATGTGAGGTGCAGTTTCAAGTCTTGTGAGAAGTTACTGTTCAATCAAAATGATTCATTTTTTATCCTGCTACTGCAAGATGAATGAATAATAGCATGTTTGAATTTTACAGTTGTGTAGTCATATCCTGCTATGGGCAACAAAAAATGACCATGACTGAAATTAAGTAGTGCAGTAGAGCAGCCTTGAAAAACAATGCAGTAAAAAGAAAAATAGTAAATAATGCAGAGTATTAAAGGTTAACAATGATTGGTCCTTGTGTAGAGAGCCTGTTAGTCTTCTACAATGCTAGTGACATCTTTCAGCATGACAATGCACACTGCCACATTACATGAACTGTACAGGACTAGTTTCAGAAATATGAACATGACTTCATTGTGATGGTCTGGATATCAAACTCTCCAGATCTAATCCCATTGAGCACTAACAGAATATGTTCAATGAATATTTTTGTGCAGTAGAAACTGACATTAACAACATTCTCATACCAGATTTCACTGTTAAGCTAAATGTGATTCAACAATCCATGATGATGCTTTTCAAATAAGATGTGAATCAGTAAATATGTTCATATGATTTTTCTTTTATAGAAGGAAGATTTTTTTAATCATTTCATCCTAAGCAAGGCAATAAAGTCACTAAGATGCAAGGGGTTATTGAGTTTGAGAGAATATGAAAAAGAATATTATTAAGGAGAAAGAACTATAAAAGAATAGGAATAAGAAGACGGATTGATTGATTTGTTTAATGGCATATCAACACCTTTATTGGTCATTTAGTGCTGAAATTTAATTTTCTTCAGAGCTATGAAGTAATAAAAAATATGTTATTCTTCTTTCACAGTTGAATCCATGGTAGATGATACTCAGCTTTTGTGCATATACATGTTTGTGTGGACATCATTACTAGAGGTGGTGACAGGTGTGTTTTATGTTGAAGTTATATTTTGGAATACAGTAGGAATATTATATTATTGTATGATATTATATGGATTAATGTCATGAAAGAGTTCTTTCACATTGGTTGATTGGTAGTATTTTAAATGGATTTGGCTGAGGTTGAAACATTTCGTTACTATGTGTTTTATTGTGTATAGTTCTTGACATGCCATACAGATTACAGGTGGCTCTTGTTTTAGAATATAAGAAGGTGTTATCATGGAGTGTCCAATATAAAGTCTGGGCATTATTATTTCATCTTTCCTTGTTTTTATTGTTTGATGCCATTCTTCTATTTAAGAAGACAGAAGATAACAATTAGCATAGAATTTAAATTTTTGAACATCAAAGTTCACTGAAAAGTAAGAAACTGGAAGAGAGTTCCACAGGTGAGAAGTGCGAGAAAAGAAACTGTTAGCAGAGAAATTATGGTTGCATGTAACCATTTCAACTGTAAAATGAAGTGACCTAGCTGCCAATCTAGTACTGCGCTTATATTCATGAAGTCAAAGTACAAAAGATTAGGAAGTAAATCAAGAGGAAACATTAATACTTGCCTGCCATTTCCAAAGACTATCGAGTCTGGCTGTGGATTCCACTTGTCGGGCATGAATGAACAAGATCACGGTTAACAGAAGAATTACAAATGTTGTTTCATATTTCAAGTCAATTGTATAACTGGGAGCATCGACATTTTGGCTGAAAGACAAGAGAAATGATGGTTAAAGAAAGATGCAACCTCCTAAAATTTGAATATTATACATATACATACATATATATATATATATATATATATATATATATATAAAAGTGAACATTGAAGTCAACACTCAGAGGCAACAGGCTGTTTCATGCTGGACGCAATCATCAGGCCGTGAATGTTAGATTTTTCCTTGGTTATTTATATATATGGGTCAGTGGTGCATTGTGGGTAATGTATTCTGGTGGTCATTTTTGTCAGAGTGTCTTGTTTGTTAATTTATTTATTTATTTTAATTGATTTTCATTTTCCTTTTGTATTATTTATTCTTTTTGTTTTTTGATGTTTTATTAACGCAGTAAAAAATTTGGGTGGGGGTTTGCTTAGGTCACTTATTTAATAGTTTGTTTTGGTTTGGGAAGATAATTAAAGCTTTTTATTCATCCATTGTTTAGATTGCTTGCCATAGTCTATTCTGTTATTTTGATGGGTGGACAGTTTTTAATTTATTTGGATTGATTATTTTTACTTATTTATGCTTATTTTTATTAGTTCTAACAGTTATTTTAGTGGGGGCGATTTGTTAATCACTATCTACTGTCCTCTTGATTAATCATTCTGCTGTTATTGCTCCTTAGAAATGTTCCTGTTTTTAACTTTTCCATAGCAGGTAACAACTTTTGCCATAGTGACTTTACTGCCTTGTTGGGAGTGAACTTGATTAATAAAGTGGGTTATCTATCTTAATCTGTTTCTATCTTTCTTGTTTAAATCTATCTGTCTATATTAATCTGTTCCTATCTATCTGTTTCAGTCTAATATTGATCTATCTATATTAAACTGTTTCTATCTTCCTTGTTCACATCTATCTATATCAGTCTGTTTCTATCTCAATCTATTTATATCTATCTCAGATAGATAGAAATAGACTGAGATAGATAGAAATAGATTGAGATAGATAGATAGATAAAAATAAACTGAGATAGCCTATTTCTGTCTATCTATCTCGATCTATTTCTATCTATCTTGATTTATTTCTATCTATCTATCTTGGTCTATTCCTATCTATCTATCTCGACCTGTTTCTATCTATCTTGATCTATTTCTGTCTATCTCTCTATCTAGGTCTATTTCAGTCTATCTCTCTATCTTGATCTATTTCAGTCTATCTCTCTATCTAGGTCTATTTCTATCTATCTCTATTTTTATCCATGTATCTATCAATCTATACATATGCATGTACATATGCAAGTCTGTAGCCTAAAGGTGATAGAAGCATTTATTTTGTCCAAATATTTTTAACGCAGTCTCCTTCCTTGATAATAAACTTTATATGGTGAAAATTTGAGATAAGGTCTCAGTTAATTATAATGTGACAGGCTGCGGCCTGATTAATGCACCATAGTGTGTGTGTGTGGGGGGGTATATGGAGATAAAAAAAGATAAAAGAGACATAAAAGGAGAAAAGAGAAAATAAAGAAAAGTGATAAAAGAAAACAGAGAAGGGAAGAAAAAGGTAAAGAAGAAGAGCCCAGGAAAAATGAGAACAAAGAAGAAATTGAAAAAGGAAAAGGACAAAAAGGAAAAATCAAGAAGAAAAGGAAGACAAAAGTAAAATGAAAAAGAAGACAAAAATAGAAGCAAAAAGAAAAGAAAGAAAAAGACAAATGAAAAAGAAAAAAGAAGAAAAAGACAAATGAAAACGACAAATGAAAAAGCAACAAAGGAAAAAAGAAGTAAAAAGAAGAAAAAAGAAAAACAAAAGAAAAAAAAGAAAGAGACGAAAGAAAAAAGAAGACAAAAAGAAAAAGAAAGATACATGAAAAAGAAAAGGGGAAAAACAAAAAGAAAAAGAAAAAGTAAAAAGAAAAAGAAGACAAAAGAAAAAGCAACAGACAAAGGAAAAAAGAAGAAAAAGCAAAAAGTAAATAAGAAAAAGAAAATACAAAAAGAAATAGACAAAGAAAGAAAAAAACAAAAAGGCAAAGGAAGAAGAAGAGGACAAAAAGAAAAAGACATAAACAAAGGAAAAAGAAGAAAAGGAGAAAAAGAAAAGTAAAAAGTAAAAGAAGACAAAAACAAAAAGAAATAGTGAAAGGAAAAAGAAAAGTAAAAATGAAGGCTAAATATTCTTAGAAGGCATCAGAAAATATTTTCGTATTCCTTCTCAACTGGGGTAACATCACCCACTGGTGAGTGATTTCAACTATTGGGTGGGCAATGAGCAACTGAACACACATATATATATATCTATCACTGATCTGTTAGTATTTTGGAGTGTTTGAATAGCCCACAAAAATTTTATCTTAATATTTTGCAAATGACCAGTGAAATGTTAATAATAAGTCGGTGGAGCAAAGATGGAAATAAATACAAAGACAGTCAATAATGAAATAACAAAAAAAATGATTTCTGAGTTGGAGGATCCATGTATCCTTTCAGTTAATAAATTAATCCTTTGAAAATAAATATTTAATATTTTCTAATCAATGGACTGTACTCCCGCTGAGAATGAAAACATGCTTTGTGATCCCTTTGAAGAGTATTTAAGCAAAGCTTTTAGACCAGACCAGACCAGACAGTAAGGAGACAGATATGTATGACATCAGTTCATGAGGGTGACTTCAAAGACATTCCCTTACTCACCCATCTTCCTCACCATGCTACATGATACTTACACTCTTCTTTACCAAGCTACATGACACTTACTCACCAAACTATATAACACACTTCCTCCTTGCCTTTTTTTCTCACACATACATGTGAAGAAATCAGGTTTCTATTCATCTTAAACAAATACAAACAAGGAACTATAACATACCGAGTAAAATTTAGTTGTAAAAATTGGAAAATAAAAATATTTTATATTTTTATATTTCTTGTCTTTTTTTTCATTGTGGGTTGATTCAAATCCACAACAAGTCAAGTAGCTTTCTGAATACGTCTGTCAAGTAACTACAATGGAGTTTCTGGTTTTAGTAATAGTTGTGTAAATTACAATTACATGATCATAAATTAAAGACTAATAATTGTGGTAGAAATGTATGCAAAGATAATATTAATCATCTTGGAATGAGCAGGAGGGGAATGAAAAAATGTTCAAGGCCACCAATTTACAAGCAAATGTAGGTGAGAGTGGAGAAATCTATGGCGGCCATTGTCAAACAATCCATCAGTTGTTTCAGATGATGGAAATCTGTTCTAGCCTCTGTCTGGAGATCCAAGTCACTTTCAGATTCCATATTATGTTCACTATTGATTGTTGCAATTTGTGACTTTCTTCACATTACATGGAATCCCAATTCTTCACCCCAAACTTTCTAATAATCATTCCGCAGCATATCATGACCATCTAACAGCTTTCAAACATAAAAACAATAATTACAGTAGACTCCACACTCATAAAAAAACAAAAAAGAAACGATTATTCTTAACCATACAATAGGGCCAAAGAGGGTTTGAACATCTTAAAATGTTTTTCTTAATATTTAGCAAGAGGCCAATCAAATTCTCATGGTTAGCCAAGTAGCTTTCTGAATATGTCAAGTAACTACAAGGAGTTTCTGGTTTTAGTCATAATTGTGCAAATTACAATTACATGACTGTAAATCTTTCAAACATAAAACCACTAATTACAATAGACTCCAGGCTCATAAAAAAAAACCAATAAAACATTATTCTTAACCATACAATAGAACCAAAGAGGGTTTGAACGCCCTAACAAAATGTTTTCCTTAATATTTAGCAAGAGGCCAATCAAAACTAAAGACTAATAATTATGGTAGAAATGTATGCAAAGATCATAGTAATCATCTTGTGCCCAACTTGAAATGACGGGGAAGGGAATGAAAAAAATGTTCTAGGCTACCAATTTTTAAGCAAATGTAGGAGAAATGTGGGGAAATCTATGGTGGCCATTGTCAATCAATCTGTCAGTCATTTCAGATGATGGAAATCCTTTCCACCTCTGTCAGGGGATCCTAGTCCAAGTAACTTTTGGATTCCATACAATAAGGCTAAAGAGGGTTTCAACATCCTAACAAG